AATCCGTTATATTTAGAAATCACTTTGACTCTTTGTTAAATAATTAAAGGCAAAAATCTACGAAAAACTCCACGCTGAGCTCGCTCCATAGAAACCTCATCTGTAGCAGATCTAGATTTTGCTATTTGGTTGATTCTTTAAAATATAATTTGATATTTTAGTCATTTCATATATTTTGCATCACCATTAATCCATCCATTACTTCTATCTAGTTTATCCTGCAGAGCGTCACAGGAGTCTGGAGGTTTCCCCAACTGGACAAGTCGCCTCTTACTTTGCAACTTCTTCTCCGATAACTTCCTCTTTGTTTCTGATGCCAGAGCTTGCTTCCTGTACAACCATCTCACATGGCCTTTCAATGAGCTTTAAAGTGGCGTTATCGGTTTTTAAAGTTGCATGAGAGTAGAGCCATCAGTTCTCCACCTTTCACGCACGGACCAGATCCGAGGGCGGTGAAAAGCGAGGCGATCCTGCCACCATCTCCGTGGACACCACTCAGGTTGAGTTATATATGCTGACTGAACAGCTTCTCTGAGTGCATATCCAGGTCAGGGCAGTTCAAATTGTCCCACTTGAAGCTATCATGATCCATTTATATACTGTATCTGGAGTCTCAGGTAATGAATAATGCACGGTGTTGCTCAAGCTGCTATTATTCGAGGCACAGAGTACAGTACTTTGCGTCAGTCCCTTTGAGCTGGCGTTGCATGATCTGTTGACTTAACATGTTTAAATGGATTAAAAGCCATTGTGTACACAGTCAGGTCTCATGGAACATTATGTCCAGCTCTTTCAACATTTGTATTATGATGCTGGCCTCTTAATGTGGGTCATAGCAGTTGTTCTTCTGCAGCTCCTAATCCATCAAAAGTTGACATCTGTACAAGTCATGTGTTGACTTTACATGACAGAGGGAGACTTTGGCAGCCCTTTGTGTGCACCTCAGACCATTTTCTTGTTCTATTTTTGGGCTCAACTCAGGGTTGAAGGTTGACGATTACAACAGGTTTAATGACAGCGCGGTTCGGCCCTACAGCTTTCTCTGGATCTTCAATCTGGGTTAAATGAACCACGCTGGGAGGACTGCTGGGGCCAAAAGGGCTCATAAGAACAAGTCGAGGTGTTTTGCAGAAGGGAGGCTCTTTACATTCTGCGCATGATTTAGGCTTCGTTTAGTGTAATTACATTTTTTTTAAGAACTCCATTTAGCTTAATCAGCTCAGAAGCGCTTCTTCCTGAGCACTAATGGTTTGGCCACTAATGCTCTGCCTCCAATAAGATATCAATTTGTCTCCTGTGACATGTATAAACAGCAGAAGGCTCGTCTTTGCCAGACAAAACTTTGCCTGCAACAAATATTGATTATTATGCGTAGTTTGATTTACTTAAATACACTTGGCTGGCTGTCTTTGCTCTTAAAGAAGTAGCTGTGGTAAATGCATATAATTGCTTTCTTACTGAAAGCGAGATTGAGGCTGTTCCTCATTATGAACACTAGAGCCAATGACCATTAGCTTAGCTTAGCATAAAGGCAGAAAATATCGGGAAACATGCTTTAAGCTCATTAATGCTGTGAGTATTTAGTAGTTTCAGGGTGTCTTGTGCTCCTGTTTTTTCTCATTGTGGCGTCGGTGTTTCACTGCAACAGAAAGTCTTGCACTTCTCTAAAAACACTCAGTTATAATACCATAAATATATGTTAAACACAGCCTGCAGTTCAGCTGAAATTTGGATCTGGTGCAAACACTTGTGGTGACTATGGATTAAAGTGACTTATTTTTTAAGCTTATTTTTTCCTGACAGAACCAGACCACGTGATGATTCTCAAGGTTTGTTGGAAACTTGAAAGTCAGACGATACTTTTCAGTTTTTACAGTTTCTGACACTGACAGATTCTGGAGACTTTCTAAAGAAAATTTTTCAAACCTTCCAGCAGGTTTTGGGTTCAGAGGCTTAACAAACATGCTACACTTTATTTATTCAATCCAAACAAGTCCAAATTGTAAAAAAGATTTTTTTTTTTAACAGTTTCTTCTGTGACAGATTACATTACCTGGCAGCAGTTACTAGGCTGGTTTCTAATGCTTCCTCTCTCTAGCTGTGGTTGCCATTTTCAAAATCCCCGTCGCTATGGGAAGCAAAACTAGCAGCTTCTGAGTTAGCAACCTGGCAACATTTGTGTTGTACAATATGAGACACCTGCTTAGTTCTTTCAGTGGCTTTTTGGTTTCCCTTCATGCAAATGTTCCACCAAAAAAAATAAATGAATAAATTACCCCTGTCACTATTTTGCAGGGGCACCATCACTGCAGCCTGGGCTTAGCATCACTTCAGACAATCGTTAATAGTTTAAAGAAGCCAGAGTGTTTGTTTCCTCCACAGCAGAATGATAAGAAGGTGCAGTCAGATCATTCTTCACACTGACACACCAAAAACATCTGACTCTGTGAGACTATAGAGAGGTTTGGACAGAGCCAGGCTAGCCGTTCCCAAATCTTATGCTGAGCTAAGCCGACCAACTTAGTATTTTCTGTGCAGACATGACATCATCTAACTCTGCAAAGTAAACTTCAGTCAGTGTTTCCTCAAGTGTCCAACTCTTCCTTTATTGTTCGTTGACCTTTTCACCAGAGTCGTGTTTAATCTCTTGACTGACTCACTGATCTGGTGGAGACTCATGGAAACCGTCTCCTCCCTGGTTACGTTATTACACTTCTTAAGATTATCCGTTCGCTGTCAGATGGAAAGGCGGCTCTGGTTCTTCTATCCTGTTCGGACCGGTCTAATTAGGTCGGTGGTTGTTCAGGTTTCTGAGCCCGGAGCTGAATTCTCTCAACCCTGGGATGTCTGGTGTCTCTATCTGGCTTCTTTTAGTTCATTAAATCTTCTTTCTTGCCATTTCTGTAACTCGCTGCTATCACATTCGTACATGATGTGTGTTTGTCTGCGCTACGCTGTGCGGTTTGTCGAGTTGACAGTTCAGTGAATGATTGACGGCCATTGCAGCACAATGTGGGAATATGATTTGTGCCTGAAAAAGTCTTTTTGATGTTACAGTTCTTTGCTGGTGCATGTTGTGACACGTCCAGGTGCACCACAGAACGCTTATTGTTCCTCTTTTTATAGTGTTTGAGTGCGTAGGTGACAGTGTTTGGGTGTGAGTGATGGGCGTGAATGTGTTTTTAAGAGAGTGACATAGTTGAAGAGTCAGCAGTTCTGCTCTTTACAAGCGTGTACTTGTGTGTTTTTTGTTTGTTTGAGTCACCTGGTGCCATCCAGAAGAGACCACAGCACCCACAATCCTCTGATATGCACCAACAAATAAAGCAGCAGTAAAATGCAGAATCAAGACGATATTTTGCTTTTTGTTTCATAGAAACTGTTGTGACTGAGACGAGTCCACAAAGTCAAACCTCAGTTTATTATCAGTAAAGAGGATCTAGGAGGTTTTTCTTGGTGTAATTAGCTTCTAATCGTGCAAATCTAATGTGTAGTTTTGGTGTGTGAGCTTCCAGGAATAGCATGAATTCATCTTTAGGAGACATTCTCAGTCCTCCACTTATGTGGCTGAAGTGCTAATCTGGAGACAGTTCCAGTACAGTGCTTGTGCATTTGGACGGTGCAGATTACAGAGTGGGGAAGAGGGCAGAGCTGCTGGTTTGGAAGCTTTCCTCTGTTGGAAATTCCCTCGGAGGAAAGTTCACTTTTCACCAGAACCCAAGCACACACTGTTGGACGGTGAATCAGTGCTATGGCTCTATATTATGTCTATCGATTAGAAACGCTGCAGCATCGTCTGCTCACTCTGTTTTCCATCAGCTTGGCATGTTGTGTACATAAAGCTGCTAAAGTGAACGAGCACCCAGCAGTATTTTGCTGCGGAGGCATTAGCCGGAGGGCGTTGCAAAATCACTGCTCGACCATATTTAAATTGCTTCTTTAATAGCATTAGTGCTGCATGGTAGACGGTAAATTGATTAAAAACCAAAGTGCCTCAAATTGCTTCATATTTGTCACAGTTTTGAAGAAAGTTTATAGGTTTGAACGCTTTAACCTACTAATCAGTGATGTGCCTTTTCATTGGAAAACAAAAAACTAAATCTAAGCTTAAAATTGAGATATTTCATTAAAATCACTTTATAATACATGTGTCATTTAAAAACCTGATTTAATTCTCTGAACCCCAAACAGTTACTGAGGGTTTTTTACTTACTGGGGGCTTATTTTTCACTTTAATATAAAGTCCTGCACCTCTATGGAAACAGCACAGCCGTGACTAGAAGGAGAGCGAACTCAAAAATGTCTTATGTGTCATATAACACAATTGTATTGCCATACATCATTAAAAAAAGGAAAAGATTAAAGTTGAAGGTCTGTGCTTGCGTTGTTTTTTCAAAGTTAAAAATACCCAGACTCAACATATACAACATTTTTCCATTTACACACAGGCGTCACCAATAATGGAAATAAAACGTTTAAACACCGTCGATGTTTTGCTGTGTGTATATTTTAATTTGTTTCAATGCTCAATCAGCTGAAAAAGCACCAGAATTTTTATCAAATGACCGTCTGTCCCAACTGGGTCGATCATGGCTTTATGATTGCATTAAAGACTGCAGAATTTTTTCTTTTTTACAGAATCTGTGTAGAACAAACACCTTATTTTTTAGCAGACTTTTAAATGATGCTCATAGGATGAAAAGATTTTGATGAAATATGACAGTTTTATGTCGAAGTTAAACTTGAGATGAATAGTTCAGTAACCATCGGAAAGTGGAAAATATCCCGATTCTTTTTGTTTTTACAGTTTCTGGCTCTGATAAATGGTGTAATTTTAGCACATTTTTAAACACAGCATACTTTTTTAAACTGACTGGAGGGTTTCAGTGTTCAGAGGATTAATGCTGCATTTTGAATTAAACTCTCTGCGGCTTCTTCCGCTCCTCGGTCTCAGTTTCTGAACCGGTAAGTAACTAGATGATGCTCTCTCTTCTCCACAGACTAATGAACACAGAGAACAACCTACTACAGACCAGAGAGGAGGAGAATGTTTCATTTGAGCGGACGCTGGTGGCCTCAGAGTTCATCGACTGGCTGCTGCAGGAGGGCGAGATGGCGACCCGGGAGGAGACGGAGCAGCTGGGACGGAGGCTCCTGGAGCACGGCATCATCCAGCATGGTGAGGACGGAGGGAGGCTGCTGATCACACTGTTTGATTATCAGGACTGGAACGGGTTGTCTCTACATGCAGGCAATATTTTAATATGAGGGATTGTCTGTGATTGTGGAAAACACACAGAGAATTTGTTCAGTTCTTCCCTCAAACGGGGATTTTCAAGTGAAGGTTCAGTGACTAAGCATCAGAGTTTTGGTTTTCTGTGTATGGAGCTGTGGATATACTGTGTTTTGTCTCATTGTTTTAGCTTTGCAATATGTACTTTGAATGAATCTAATAGTGGTTTACTCTCATGAACGTCACTTGTAGCTGCAGCAAGTGGCTGATTTCAGTGAAAAAAGTAGCAGCCAAGCTCAAAACATCAGACATATTTAGCTACTGCTTAGTGAGCACAAGTAAATATCGAAGTAAACTTTTTAAATGTTGGAAAAAATATACAAATTTAAAAAAAAAAAGGTAGTTAGGTTAGTTTTGGCCATGTGCTATGGAGCGAATAAACTAGACAGAAGAAGGTGTTATAGGTTATGTTGGCTATATTATGGAAGCCGAGAGCGGTCATGGTCGCACATTTTTTTAAAACGGCGTTTTCTCGAGATAACGAGATAATTATCCCGTTGACAGTTTCGGCTGTCACTTCAGCCTTCATCAGAAGTTGTCGGACTCCCTGGTGTGACGTATCTTATATAGACAGCTGACCGGGAACTCCGACATGACGTGTCATGAGAACAGCTGACCGGGCACGACAGCTTACAATGAAGCGCTGGTGCCCGGTCTGGTCTGTCCTCCGGCCCCCCGCTGGTGACTGAGGATGGAATCCATCCTGGACCGGGCACGAGCGGGCAAACACAAACACCAATTATCTCGTTTTCACGAGAAAACGATTCTTGTTATCCCGAGATAACGAGAAAATTAACTCGTTGTCTCAAGAAAACGGCGAAGAAAGAACAGTAGCGGAAAACGACCGCTCTCGGCTTCTGTAGGATATCACAGCTAAAAGGGGGGGAAAAAAAGACATTTTCATCTCTCATGTACATTCACTCTTTTTCAAAAAAAAAAACCAGTGAGCATTGGTGGAGACCAAATCAGAGCTACAAGTAGAGTTAGTATTGGACTTGCATTCAACAGGTGCCTAGAAACACGACTTCATGAATCATAATGGTGCTGCAGAACTGCTTTAATCAGGAAGTACAGGTTTGATATTGTTATTAAATGCCAAAGGTCAAATAGTAATTTACACATGCATCCAACAGTTTTAGCATTTTTTTTGCTGCGTCTGCTCAAACCAGCTTTAACTGACTGGGAGCTGTGCTGATGACAGACTGATGGACTGTGAGTGATCCGGGGCGACAGCAGAGCCAGTCGTCCCTGCAGTCAGATCCCAGCTTGCGTCTTTGTGATCCTGGTACAAACAGCTCCTCCTTAACCTGAGGACTTTGGCATCATGTAGCTCCGTGTGTCTTTGATCTTTTAACTTTTACAGTCTGATAACCGATGTGGGTGTTTAATTACAGTCCTGTCAAACACATGCCGTCAACTTGAGTAAAAGATTTGTCACATGCGAGGAACCAGTTTAGCAGAAATGTCTGGATTGATCTTGATGGTGCTACAGTACCGTTTTTAATAAAAATGCACAAAAAACAGATTAACATGATTTCTGATGGGCGACTGTAAACTTTCAAATGATGGATCTGCTCATTTTGGGCTTCGAGCTATTTCAAACTGACCCACATTCTATCTCACACTGACCAAGATTGAATTTCACACCCCACGAGTCTTGATTCTGTCTTGTCTCCTGACCTCGACCTGACCTGACTCGAGGCTGCGTTCAAGAGCGATTCGAGTTACAGAATGTTACTGAGTAATGAACATGAGGAAAGTGTAACCTCAGGGTCACGTGACTCAAGAGGTCGGCGCGTTGTTTTGACTTCACGGCCTGGAGTGGTGCCCGTTATGTTATCTGTGAATATAAACAGTATGTGCACTTGTTTGTGTTTGGTTTGGATTATAGTCTGAGCAGTGGAAGAGGCGCTTTAAAGTATTACCAGCTGAAGCATCAGTACAGAAATCAGACAAACTTAATTAACGAGTTCTACACAAATCCCGTCAGCGTTGGACAATATGTGTTCTATAACTCGTGTGCTGTGCTGTGGCTGGTTGAGGTACACGAATCTGTTATATGAAGTAATATTTTATTTATTGTAATTTTAAATGTGTATTGTTTAGTTAAATAATATTTAATGAATGTTAAACTATATTTAATTATAATAGAGGAATATTATATTTTAGTATAAAACTAGAAAAATCCAATAAAAGATCATTTTATTGTTCTTTTTACCCTCAAAGTGATTCTCTGCTTAACTCAGGAACATTATAAATAGAAAGCACCGTCAGAAACGTGTGATCGGGTGGAGTCAGGTGGAGTCGGGTTCTCTTTCTTGAAAGGATTTTTCTGCATTTATACATTTGAGTTCACAAGCATGTAGGTTTTTTTGTGTTTTTGTTTTTAACCGTCCGTCATCATGCTGAAATGAGTCAGTGACGTACCCCAATACATCCCAATAAGCCGTTAGAAGTTTTAAAAAAACTATTTGCTGGTTCTGACTCGCTGCAGTGCATCAAGGAAACGGTCGGATAACATACGTGGACTGATTCTGATGCCACTTTTACTCAGTATGGTGGAAGAGAAACTGCACGTGTAAATACAAACATGTTAAAAGTCCCGTTAGCTAAATAATAACAAATAATGTCAATGCTAAGTCAGGTTAGCATTGACATTATTTAGCCACAATATCACAAAGTACATTGCAGCACAAGGCCCATTTTCAGTGCCATTTACTCAGAAATTTGAATCACACAGATAAAGTTTTAATTAACATCCATGTGACCGAGGCCTCCGTCGATGCGTCCTCTCTGGTTGTTTGTCAGCAACCGACAACCAAAGCGTTTATCTCAGTAACTTTAATAGAACGTCGCTGTTTCTTCTTCGTGTGCAGTTTATTCAGACACGTCGTCTCCAGCTGTGAATGTGTGTTTTCCTCAGTAAATCAGGCCAATTAAAGCATAATAACCGGCAGCTGCTGGAATGCTGCAGCGTGCAGTCGTCTTCTGACAGGGCGAGGCTTTAAAGCTGTTTTTTTAAAACCACTTTGACATTCAGATTTGGTCCTGCAGTTGTTGTAACTCTCCTTTGTTCGGTTCATCCCTGACTGTGCACGTTTAACATTTTGTTTGACAATGAGTGGAATGAGTTTTTGTTTGAGTCACGGCGTGGAAGTTTGATTTGCCGCTGATGTCTGCGGCTCACAGCCGTCCCATTAAATTAGACTGCATGTTGGTGCTGAGAAGCCACGCTGTAAATAACGACAGTTTCTCTTGTTCTTTTGATAAATTACAGATGTTAACTAGTTACATCACAGAAAAAGGTCTTGATTTAAATGTCAACCATAAACCAACCGGACTGCATAATATCCACAAAAATCTGTTTTTATAAATGGTATTTCATTCTTGAATTATTTTTGACCATAAAATTTCAGCTAAATTCTGTTAAAACTAGCAAAATATTGTTATTTCACAGATATTTGTCATTACGTGTTTGAAAAATTATGTATGTTAAAGACTTAAAAATGTTAAAAATATTAATGTTTAAACTGCTACTTTACAGATTTTCACTGTTTTGTTAAATGACAGACACTAACTTGCAAAATCACAGAAAAAAAGTCTTAATTTACATTGATTGTAAAAAAATAAATAAATAAAAACAACAACAACAACAAAAAACTTGCCAAACTTTGCATAATAAAAAAATCAGCATTTTTATAAATAGAATTTCAGTCATTTACAATGTGTGGCTATAAAATTGCTATATTTTTATTCTATTAAAATTAGCACAAATATTGTTATTTCACAGACATTTGCTATTATTTAAAAGAAAAATATGTATATTAAAGTTTAGAAAAAATTGTCAATATAAAAATTAAACCATTATTTTATAGATTATCTTTGTTTTGTTAAATTACATATAATACATTTTAAAAGCTGAGAAAAATTACATTAAAAAAAACGAAACAAAAACAGACCAAAAGTGTACATGATGTCCAGATCAAATATCTATATGTATATATATATATTTTACATATAATAATCTATTCTTTTGCCATATATGACTGTAAAATTACTGAGTTTTACCACATTTGAATCAGCTCAAAAATAGAATTATATCACAGATATTTGCCGTAATTTTCACAGTTTTTATAGTTTTTAGCTATTTTTTAAAAACATGTTTTTCTGACACCTTTGCTGCCAGATTTTTACCATTGATTTCCTTTTTTGTTGTTGTTTTTTGTTGTTGTTTGTTGCAGTGCACATGACCTCAGAGCTGCAGGTTTTCATGTTTTGTTCATGCACATTATACATTTGTTCAGTCTTTTAGTTACGGGGGAGACATGTCGCTGTATTTTAAGTGACAGAGTAAATCATAGTAAGTCCAGCCATTGAACAGTGTAGTCTTTAACATCGCTGGTGGTTTGCATGTTGAAGGACTTTGCAGTAGATTACAGACCGTCTACAGCCGTAAGCAGCGTCATAAAAACGCCACTTCTCTATGTCGCACTGCTGTCATCTGAATACGTCAAACAGAGAGAAAACGATTCCTTACAGGAGAAAGAGAATAAATATAGAAACAATGAAGGGATGTTGATCATGTGATGAAGTCCTTTCTGCCCTCTCTCCCCTTTTGCTGCTCCTCTTCTGCCCGAGTGCTTCTCATCACACGCCACGTCCATCTGCTCTCTTTTTCCTTCTCTCGCTCGCTTCCGTCCGATCCCCCGTCCCTCTGGAGCCGTAGTCGAGCCGAGCATCTCCAGGGTCGAGGAATGCGGCGCTACGAAACACACAAGAAACGCACACATACACGGCGGCGGCGGCGGCGGCGGTGTGTTGTCACTTCACTTAGTGAATGTAATGCAGCGCCGATCTGCTTCCTGCCGGCCTCAAACACACTTCACAGTGTCATCCTCCCCGAGGACATCACTGCTCTAGTGTTACGTAGATGATATGTGGACTTTACACTGGGAATGTTGTTTTTACGCTCTCGTGTTACAGAGCGGAGGATCATTTATAATAATCTGGTTTTATAGGTTATGTTTGTGCAGCTCTCAGTTCCCATTAGAAACACATTATAAAGAGCGTAGAGGGCCAGTTAGCCAGCCAGTCTTTGTTTCTGCTTTCTGCTCTGTAGGCCAGAGGTCACACATTCATGATACATAGACGGTCTGAATGCATCCACTTTGTGTTTAATGTGGAAGTTGTTTTCTATACTATACCTATAAATCAGGCCCAAAAGGTTACCGCCTGTCTGCAGTGAGTGAAAGTTGCGTTTAATGAACAAATGAAGCCGTCAGAGTGGAGTCGACGTATCGCTGTGGTAAAGGATGGAGCAGCAGGAGGCTGTGGTCACACTGGGCAAAGCTTTGAACAGCAACGACAAAGAAACCAGCGTTTCACCTCCGTTCATGAACGTTCAGAGGAGTTAAAACATGCCAAAGGCTGATCCACAGAATAGAAGGACTTAGTCGCGTTGCATCTGCAAAACAGCGGGTGAACTAACTACAGTGTGTGTTACAATCATGAATGGAAGCTAAATGATAACAAAATGACAATTAGTAGAAATGCAGTTAATAAATGCGTAATTGGGTAGCATGCACTGATACAGGTTGATCACTGACCTTTACTGTGTTCATTCCAAGCAGTTTCCATGAATTCG